GGAAAAGCAACCTCCATGAAATGGAAAAAAGCTGGGACTGCACCAAGAAGTAGAGGCTACGAGAAGAAATAAAATTATCTGATTCATTTGGTTTCTTCGTTTTGCCTTTTTTGTTAATTCAAATATCAACGGCAACCTAGAGCTAATAAAGTGAGAGTAACTGTACTATTATCATTCAATGATATCTTCGACCCTTTTGTAAAAACATTAGAGGTCCCAGCGAAGATTTAAGCGTCAAACAGGGAACCAAAGATTAAGTGGTATCAGTCTTGACATAAAACGTCAAATTACCTGATTACATCTCAACTAAGAAACTGAATGAAAATAAGTAAATAAATTCAGTGACTAACCTTGAAAAGCATAGACACGATTCGCCCAAGTTCCTCCTTTTCCATCACCTTCGCATTTATCGCTCTTGCCATATCTATCAAAAGTCTTTTCTGCTGTTGCACTGCCGTAACACTCCCCACCATACTGAACTGAAAACATGCGGAAGCCCCTTTTGCGAGCCACTATAGCGCATTTTTCGATAGAGTTCTTGCGTATTTTGTGCCATCCTGTCAATAGCGGATCTTTTTGTTCGAGTGATGCAATTGCACGCGAGTAGCGATCCTCGTAGCATCCAACATCAATATAATCTATTTAAAGTTTAAGAAATTTAACTATCACGCAACGCCGTTAAAAAAGGGACATTTCTAAACGTACACTCTATGGCAAACATGAGCTACAACTAACTAGTAATCGATCATAGGGGAAAGATCCAGCTGCATATCCAATACATCCAAAATGTTCGAACAAATGGAAAATGACTGAAGAGTTTCTATTCGACTACTCGAGAAAAATAAAAACATAACAAAAGCAAAAACAAACAATCCCTGCTCAGGCTAGACTGTACTTTTGAATGAAATTTGATAAACCATAAATTCTGGAATCATTTCAGGAGAAGTTGTTTTCAGAAAATTAATAACTACCGTGTTTTATGACTCACAAATTCCAAGCCAGTAAAAGTGTAAGTTCCAGCCACTAAAATATATATTACGCCAACGAACTCGTGGAATTTTACCGTTACATCATTGACTCCCATTTCAATGTAAAATATGGTATCATTACAAACCTCGAATGATGTAAACATTGTTTGCCCATGATCCTCCTTTTCCATTTGCATTGCATTGATAACTCTCGCCATATCTATTAAAAGTTTTTTCTGCCGTTGCGCTGGTCATGCACTCCCCGCCATATTGTACAGCAAACATAGTGAATCCTCTTTTTCGAGCTGCTAGGGCGCACTTTTCAATCGATCTCGTACGCACGCGGAAGTCCTCGGCAGCGATAGGGTCTACTCCTTCAAGTGTTGGAATTGCTCGGAGAGGCTTGTCTGCGTAGCATCCGACACTTCTGTATTCCACTGAAGGTGCAGATA